GTCGCTGGCCCACCTGCCTCGTTGTTTCGCCTCGGCGAGGGGGGGATGCTGCCCCGCCTGTCTGCCGATGGCCTTCCGCGCCGTAGCTGGGAAGGCGCGTGCGTCGCGTGCAGGTCGGGCCCGCGCTGCGCTCGCTTGAACACCGCATTGAAGTGCTGGGCGCTGAACTCGAAGAGGCGGCCCGACCTCCTGGCGAGCGCCCGCCTGCCGATCTCCAGCCCGAGGAGGCCGTGGCTCGGGCGGTCCAGTAGACGCTCTCGTTGGACGCGAACGCTCTGGGTGTGCCCCCGAGCTCCTCCGGGTGCAAGTTCAGCGCTGGCGTCCAGGACAGTGGAGGGCGCGGCGGCGCCATGTCCTTGGCACGAAGGTTCCACGCCTCGCAGGAACGGAGGGGCGCCGAAAACATCACCAATGTCCTCAGCGCTTCGGTCGGCATGCTCTTCATGGTCATCACGTGGGCGATCGCCGCCGCCGCTATCCACGGCGCAGGGGCCCGCGGGGCAGCAGGACTGAAGCGGCGCCATGCTCTGATTGCTCGCCCCGCGCGCGGCGGCGCCGGGGCCCCCTTCGTCTGCTGCGGGCAGAGGGCCAAGAAAGCGGCCACCTGCGCCTCGCCACGCGGGGCTCCGGCGAAGAACATGGCCTCGCCCCGGTCCGCCATGCCCGTCTCCACCTCGCTCAGCGAGCCGACGGACCTCCCGGCGCTCGTCAGGCGCTGGAGCAGGCGCCGAAACGATTCGAAGCACCTTTTCCAAGTCGCGGCCATCGCCGAGGCCATGGTGGGGAAGTTGGGGGGTGGATGGCCGAAGCGCATGGCCATGTCCTTCTCCTACTGCACGAGCCCGTTCGAGAGCCGGTCCGAGCGCATCGACTGGGGCGGGGCCCTGGGCGAGACGCGCGCTGGGCGAGGAGGCCAGCGGCGCCTCGACGCCATCCTGGAGCCCAGAGCCCTCATCCGCAACATCCAACTCGGACGGATGCCAGCGGCGCGACAGCGCAACATCTCCCGCGATACTGAGCGCAAGTAACTTACAAAAACATTCAGAGGACACCGAAGAAAGCCGAAACCCCTGTCTCACAAGCCAAAACGAGTGACACATTATCCCCAACACGTATGCAGGTGTCGTAAACCAACATTCTGAGAGGAACAGGCTTTATGTTGTAGAGCTGATACCGTTCCCCCCCCCCCCCCCCCCACAACCGCGATGCATTCCTCTTGGGCGAATCTCACGGCGTAGCCCACTTGCCATTTATCGAGGTCGAGCCACGTTTTAGGGGCCTCATGGAAGTCTGGGTTCTCCTCTATCATCTGAATTCCCTCGCCCTACTTGCCGACCTCTGGGGGGTCACGGCGGCGACGTCATTGAACGCGTCGGGGCCCTTGGGGGCCCTTTTGCGAGCCTGCGCCGCGGGGGCCTTGGCGCTGTGCCGAGACTTCTCTTTGACTCTACCAACCTGGGAAACGTCCCGGGTCGATGAGTCCCTGGAGCATACCGCGTGCGCACTGGGACAATCATCTGAATGGGCAGCGTTAGGACTCCATGTCCTATCCAGTCCTGAGTAGCAGAACGGAAGCAGGATGCTGAAAATTCGAATCCCCTGGGCCGCGCTCTTCCACAACGGACCCCGCGACGATTGATGGGCACGGATTAAGGAAGATGGAAGATGGACAGGAACTCTCTTCTCAGCAGGCAGATATGGATGCAGTGCCCCACACCCGCTCCAGCTCGCGCCCGCCGACTCGCGGGCGGCCCGGAAGCCGCCGGCCCGCGGCCTCAGGCAGCTTCCTCTTGCTGACCGCAGGCGCCCCAGTGCGCGCGGCCCCGTCGACGCGGCAGCCCAAGGAGACGGCGTCCGTCGTCGGGGCAGCCACCCCGTGGACCACGAAGCCCTTCTTCTCAAGATGGCGCTGCAGCTGGTCGCGGATGTCACCCGCGGCGTCGGAATCCAAAGCTATGACGTCGATGTTATCGGCGTGGGGCAGCAGCGACGCCCTGCCTGGCACCAGCTCGAGGGCGCGCTTCCCGTCAGTGATCGCCCTCTCGGGCTCGATGACCTTGGACTCCGCGATCTGCTGGCGCACCGCCCCCTGCGCGATCCACACCGCCCAGTTCCAGCCCATCGGCGCGACCTTCAGGCAGGGCGAGACCATCGCGCCAGGGGGCGGCAGCCAACTGCAGCCTGGCAACTCTGCGAAATCAGCAACCCGCGAGACGTCAATTGGTGGCAGAGCGAAGTGCTCCGACAGATCGCATGGGGGCCCCCAAAACATTAAACAAAGTTCGATATATCCGCTTGCGCCGCGCGCAGCCCAGCCTCCGCAGGGGCCGAGACGTCGGCCCACCGTGATCCGCTGGCCGCGACTATGGCAGGCAACGCCCTGAAGCGTGCGTTAACCCCGAGGCGGTCCCAGACGATCCTGAGTGCGTCGCTCTTCTTCTTCATGAAAAGAAGTGATGCGTTTTTTGACGACGCGGCCCGCGCCGGCATCCCGCTCGCGGGCAGCGACCGGACAAAAAGGCGGCATACTTGGCAGGGGGGGGGGCGCCCGAGAACCGTGTCCGTGCGCGGCTTGGTAGGAGCGCTCGCCTCGCAAACCCAGCCCAACTCGTCATCGTCGAGCATCATGGCGGTGCCGAACTTCCCATGGCAAGCGGCGCCCTCGGGGCCCAGCAGCTGCTCGGCGATGGGGGGCCGCTCCGCCGGCCCCAGGATCGCCATCAGCTTGTGAACGTAATGGCAAAAAATCACTCGGGGCCTTTCCACCGTCGCAGCCGAAGTCAGAACGGACAAACACGCGGGCGGCTTCTCGCGACTCGGCCGCGGGGCGATCGCCAGCACCCGCGCGTCGAAGAAGAACGCGCTGGGCTTCGCGCTGCGCGGCGCTGGAAGCAGCGCCAGGACCGGCAAGACTGCCCCCCCCCTGTAGAGCCAGTTAAGGGAGTCCGCCATGGCGTCTGCATGCTGGCCTATGGCGCGACACAACTTCAGCCTTTGCCGAGCGGGGCGTGACAAGCCCTCGCGAACGGCCAGGTTCTCTCCGAGCCTCGGAAGAAAAAAAAAAAGTCGCGCGGAGCAGCTCTCGGCACCTGCGAGCCCGCGACCCAGGCATAGTAAGGCCTCCTCGCCAAAGGCGGCGTGCCCATCTGCCGGCCCCGATGCCCTCTGCGCGCCATTCGGCCCCTGTGGGGTTCTGGCCCCCGCCAGCCCTTCCACCGCCCCCGCGGCCCGCGCCCGCGGGGGGCCGCGGGGCGCTGCTGCCTCTCCTCCCGCGCCCTGCGGGCCTCCATCGCAAGGGCTGACTCCCGGCGAGCCTCCATGGCGACGCGGGCGCCCAACAACGGCGCGATGACGGCGCCCCCTGGGCAAAACCCCCAACCCATGCAGAAGTCCGCCATGCTGCAGTCAGGCTGGGCTGGGTTAAGCCTGTGCGCCTCCTGGATCAGCGCCATGCGCCTGGACAGGAGTTCGACGGACTCCAGCAACGGCAGGTTGAGCTGATCCTGCGGCGCGGCGGCGTCCATCACCCTGGAGATCACCTGGGGTTCGTAGACGCTCCTGTCGCCAGCAGCGACCTTGCTCATGCGCACCCAGATCTCGTGGACGGCAAAGAAGGACCCGTCGTTGTCTCGAACATACTGCAGCGCCCATATCAGCGTGCCAGGACCTGTCACCTTGAAACCGCCGGGCGCCGACTCCTCGTTGGAGAAAGCCGCCGCGCCTGCTATGGTCGAAGCCGCTCGCCCTGCGGGTCGAAGAACAATGGCAGCGTGCGAACGTCACCCTCCGCCAGGGCCGCCGCGTCCTCCGTCGTCGTCTGACCAATCGCGAACGGCTGGCCCGCCACCTGGACGATCGCGCAGTCGCCGAAGGACACAGGGTCAGGCGGCAGGCGGATGGCGACCAGGTCGCCCTCATGATATCCAGCGCGCGCCTCCAGAGCAGACCTCCCAGGCCCAGGCGCCGCGGCGTCCTCCAGCGGGAGGCCGCTGGAGTCGTCACGCTGCGGCACGCCCCACGCGGTGTGCAGCGCCAGCTCGGGGGGATCGACCTGCATCTCCACCGCACCGATCAGTGCCAGCCCGCCAGTGTACTGCTGGTCTGGCATGTCGTCGGCCCACAGGCTATCAGGGGGTCGATGCCCTCGGGCAGCGCCCGGGCCGTCTCTTGGTCGAAAAAGGCCCTGACGCCTTCGATCAGCGGCGTCTCGGCATAGTAGTCGCCTCCAGGCGGGACCCCAAAAAACCGGCGCCACCTGCCTCTGGTAAAGCACCCGCACGCCGTCCACCTCGTCCTCCACCAACACGAGCTGCCTTGCCCGCGTCCGCGCAATCAGGTCCTGTCAGACTCGATCGCCGCGGGGTCGCGTCGCCTGACGAGCAGTGCTTGACGGCGGGCCAACTGCCCGATGCTATCGCCAGCCGCCAGGGGCGCAGGCGACTCACCTGGCTGGGCCCGCTGCCAGCTGGCCCCCGCAGCGAAAGCGTTGAGCAGCCCCGCCGCCAAGAGGCTGACAGCCGAGCTGATGGCCGTCCAGCTCGGCCCCACGCAGGTGGACACCTGTGGCGTCGGCCCCTTACAGTGAAGCTGCGGCGCACACGGCGGACACCCAGGCGCGCCGCCCCACAGAGCGATGCCCGTGCCTACGCCCGGGTTAACTCTTGGATCGCAAAGTGGGCAATTTCTTCTTGCATCACCGAGAAACTACAGAGCAACAGACGGCGTCGGAACGACGGCGACAGACAACAACGTGCAAACACGGGGTGTCTATATATATATATATATATATACACACACCTACAGCACAACCGTATCTATATGAAAACATACACCTGTAGAAATGCATCATGCACCATACTCCACCCCCCATCCTCATCCTCCTCCTCCTCCCTCTGCCCCTCCCCCTCCGACTCCTCCTCCGCGTTTCTCCTCCTTCTCGACGGCGGGCGGCCGCAGCTGCGCCGCAGCCGTCGGCGGCGGAAGGCCGTCGGGCGCGGGGCCTCGCCGAACCCGGCGCTGGCTGGCGAGGCGCTGCCGCTGCTGCCGCCGCCAGGGCCTCGGCGATCGCCGCCGCCGAGCGCCGAGCGCCGTGGCCCTAAGCAGCAGTGGGCGGCGAAGAGACACGGGCCTTGCGCAAGATGGCATGCCAGACATGATCGCGTCGTACAAGAATCAGGACGGGACATTTGTTGATGCAAATTCGGCCTCGAAGGGCCCTCGCCGGGCCTCGGGACCGTCAAAAAACTACTCAGGATGAAAAACTGGTCCTGGGGAAAGGGTCGGGACTTCAAGGGACCCCGTATTGAAAAAATCAGGACGTCGCATGTCTGGGATAGCGACCGCGGCCAACGCGGCACGTCACATCGGAGACGAGAGCACTCACGCGCGACATTGCGCGGGACGCCTGCGCGCCATCGTCGGCGCAGGCGAGCCTGTTTTTCCACGCCGCTCAGGTAGCTTCTGGTGCGCGGCTTTTGGGGGAGGGGGTCACGGGGGAGCCAGATCTTGAGCAGGGACCGACCGTCCCAGCATTCCCGTGGGCCTACCACGACATGTTCTTGCAACCCAAACGTGTTCTAAGAACAACAAGTAATCTTAGAACATCAACCCGACGTGCTAAAACAAGACAGTCTCAGCCAGAACTGTTCTGAAAACATTTCGCGCAGACCATAAACAGTTATTCTAACAATCTTTGGTGGGCCTATATATAGGCGAGCCAGAACGCTTCGCCACTTCTTGAAGATCTAAGAGTGCGCGTCAGTACTGGGGGGGGGGGCCCTGCTTGCCCGCACCATATGTCCCCTTGGCCAAGGACCACCCTTGCGTACAGCTCCTTCGCCGTCGCAAGGCGGCGAGCGCAGCGCCGTCGCTCTCGCCGTCGCCGTCGCCGCCAGCGGGGCGCCTCGCCGCCGACGGCGAGGCCGTCGGCGACAAGGGTACAGCGACAAGGGATAGGACGTCGGCGAAGTCATTGGACACAAACTGCATACACGAAAACCTCCGAGAAACCCACCTTGTCCCAACACAAAATGGGGACCTCGGTGCGCCGGAGGGGGGCCGGCTGGGCTGGGAGGAGGAGGGGAGGAGGGGGAGGAGGAGGAGGATGAGGAGAAGGAGGAGGAGGAAGGGGAGGAGGATGATAGAACGTCAGAGCACGCCTGCACATCCAATACAATTTGTCACTTGCATGTTCAAGCTAAAGGATTCTGCTCAACGATACACAATCGACTAAGGGCTCTGTCTGATAGGGGGGGCCACGGCGGCAAAGAAGGCCACCAAGGGGCGGTCCCTCAGCGCTCTAGTCGGTCTGGGTTGCTCAAGGGTTCCCATGGGTACGCCAAGGCAGGAGGGCCCAAGAGGCCTCCAGGGCGCCGCAAGACAGTGGACCCGAAAGGCCCCAAGACGCCCCCGAGAGAGCGGAACAATACAAGAACACATGAGCTTTTCAACCCGACTCGTCTTTCCCGCTCTTCCACAAGAAGTCCCAGAATCGCTTCAAGACGGCTCCCAGAGTCCCCGAGGAATGATTAACAAGGCCCCAAGTTTGGGTTTCGAGGGCCCCCCCCCATATGCCGCCACAGACATCCAGGATTGGGAACACATTCCCCAAGGCTACCCAAAGACGCCGAATTACCCGAAGACAAGAAACAACTTCTCAGGAGGCGCAAGGGCTTCCGAGAAGTCCCGCCGCCTTCTGAGAAGGCCTTCTCCTTCTCATTTCCCCCCCGCGCTCGCCGCCGATCATCGGCGGCCCTTCCTCCCGACCCAAATCCACAATAAAAATCGACCCCGGACCCCTCCAGGGGTCCGTCGTCCTTCCTGACCCAGCTTTCGAGGCGTATTAATGAAAGGGCCCAGAGAACACAAAGAAGTATACAAAAATCAAAGGACGCCCTGTATTTCTCCATAAATCCTGGGACCACTACCAACACTTTTCCATAAGTCGGGCACGGCCCTCTACAGGAGGAATATTCAAGAATAGTCACACATTAGTCGGGGGACGGATGTTTTAAAAGTATTGTTTAACATAGTTAAACTATGTTTAACTACTTTTAAACTTTCGTCCAAAATCCGCCTGTAGGAAGGCGTGCCCGACCTCAGCTTAATTGTGTGTATGTGTTGTTCCCCTCCCGAATTGAGCCGTGGCGACGAGGGGCCTCCAGGAGGCCCGACAAAAAGCACGAGAAGACTCTGCGGGGGGCCGCCGCTGTCTCCACTGGCCTGTCTTACTCCCCCTGGGAGGCAGCTGCTGGGAGGTCTTCGCTGGAAGAATGAAGTCGACTAGACGTAAGAGTGACCTTTCGCAGGAATGACCTTTGGTACGGGTACAGCTGAGTCCCCAGATGGCTGAGAACGAAGCAGTAGCAGCTGCTTGCGCGCCCTGGTCTGGTCCCCCCGCGGCCCCCAAAAAGCCGCGCACCAAAGGTAACTCTTACCCAAGGTCACTCTTGCGTATAGCCGCCGATTAAGGCCGCCACGACCCCCGACCGCGCAATCATCGCCGGTAGGGGCCCGATATCCAAGAAGAAAAAACGCCATGGACAGAAACTTTTGGACCTCCGCACGGGTTTACTGGATCCGCGCGGGGCTCCCCCGGCGGCGCCTCCGGCGCCGTGCCTGGCGCGCTCCATTGGGGCGGTGCTACGCCGGAATAGGCCGCAGATTAAGCGGGATTGAGCCTGATTCAAAGGGATTGCGCCGGATAAAATGGGATTAAAAGGGATTCAACCAGATTTCGGACAAGGCAAAATCAGATTTTGACCTCCCAGGAATTGCATCAAAGCTCCCCTGAGATCCGAACCCCAGACCCCAAATTCCTGAGCCAATTTTCGAGCTGGCTCGAGCTGTTAATGACGTGATGCCCCACGCGGATCTGAAGTGGGAAGTGCGCGGACTTACTCCAAGGTACCTGGACGATGCCCCATGGGGCTTCGCAGAAACTCCACAGGACAACGCATAGTGTATAAACGTCCGGCCGTTTCTCCGGACGACGGGTGGTGACACACACACACACACACATACATATATATATATATACAGATATACAAATACATATACACATACATATACACACACTGTGGTTTGGCCGCCTGAGCGGTGGACTGACAGAACGCAGTACAGGGGAATATATCCCTGGCCCCAGTGAAGGTCCGACTGCTGGGCCCAAGATGCCCCCAAGAGGCCTTGAGGTGGGCCCAACCAAGGCACCAACAGCTCGAGTAGGAGATCAACTATAGAATTGATTCACCCCAAAATTGATCTGCTACGTCGAATCCACGAACACATACGTAGCATGCTTTGTAGATCTGCGGAGCGCATGGTTTCACAGATTCGACGATGAAGCAAGTTTGGGGCAAATCGGTTCCGCAGTCCATTTCAGGGCTTGCGTCCTTCTCATAACATCCTGAACGCTCTCAGTCTTGACAGTACGGTGGAGCTGCCCTTGGCCCCGACGCACCCGCAGGCCTCGAGCCCTTGGCATTCGGACCAGCCCTGGCAGTCGTGGAGGGCCCATCAAACCCCGTCGGCCCGCCGCGCAGGCGGGCCCCCCGGCAGCTCGCGAGCGGGGCGCGGGACCGGCCCCACCGCGGCCTTGCCCGGCGGCCTTGCCCGGCGGCCTTGCCCGGCGGCCTTGGCCGGCGGCCTTGCGCGGCGGGCGCAGGCCGCCGGGCGGGGCCGCCGGCACAGGATCGCCGAGCGGGTCGCGCGGGGCGGTCCACAGGCTGCCCGGCGGGGGGCGCGGCTCGCAGGGGGGCTCGTGGGGCGAGGGCGCGACGAGGCAGGGCGGGGCGAGCCCAGGCAGAGAGGGGCACTCCGAGGCAGGGTAGCAGCGCGAGGACCCGCGCCGAGAGGCCGAATATCGGCCGCGCTCTCGTGGACAGAGTCAGGTCGCTCGGCTTCCTCCAATGCGATTGTGGGTGCGGCCTTTGTTGCTCCTCTGCCTCCTTCTCCCTCCCCCTGTTTCCCTGGGTGGCCAACTGCTGTTCGCGACGCGCATGTCTGCTCAGAGGACAGGAGCCGAAGATCTGAAGACTGCGTTTGCCTGCCGCGAGCCAGCGGGCACAGCGAGACCCGCGCACGCACGACTCGCGCCCATGAACGGGAACGATCTCGGGGTAGATCGGCTCAGGCCGAAAAACATCGACCTGGAATCGGCGGTACATGACCCCAATGGCGAATCCGCACGGTCCTGGGCGGAGTGGGCTATCCGGCCCCTTTCTCGGCGGCGAACGGGCGATTGGGTGTCGATGCGTTCCCCCTGAGTCTATCCCCCCCAGTGGTCCTCGTCATCCAGTTTTCGGGTCATACCTCGAATCTCAGACGGCCGTTCGGGAGCACCCCTGGACGCATCTCGGCGAGGCGCAGAGATGGAGAGCATCCCGAAGCTGACAAACCGCTGAGAACCGACGAAAACACCGGAAAACCTCGAGCCTCGACGTTGCCCGTTGCTCGAACCTCGAACCCCCGAAGGGCCAGGAGCTCGGAGCTAAGGGTACGGGCCCTGCATGTGGAACCCCTCGAGCCTGCCGATCTCCACGTCTGCCGCGTGCGCCTGGGCTTCGCGGCAGCAGGCAGGCTCTCCCCAAGAGCGGCGGGGAGGCGGGCCGATCGCGGTCTCGCGCGGTCCACGGGAGATTTTCCCAGCAGGAAGCGGCGTGCGTCCACGATGCTGGCCGTCTGTCCCCACGCTCCAGAATGTCCCCAGGCATGATCGCGTCGTAAAACACATCCGGACGGAAGGTCTTTGGCAAATTTCGGCCTCGGGGGGCCCTCTCTGGGGGGCCTCGGGACCGTCAAAAAAGACTCAGGATGAAAAACCGGTCCTGGGAAGAGGGTCGGGACTTCCAGGGACCCCGCACGGAAAAAAATCAGGAGGTCGCATGTCTGGGTCCGACACAAAAAAGACCCAGGCCACGGTCGAAGCTTTTTCTTAGCGTGTCGCGGCGGCAGCCCTGGCGGCACGCTTTGCCATGCAAGCGGATCTCTCTCTCTCTCTTTCTCTCTCTCTCTCTCTCTCTCTATATATATGCACATATAATAGTGGTACGAGCGAGCGAGCTCGCCTCAAAGGGAAAAGAGGAAGGCGCGACAGGCCAACCACTTCAAAACTTCAAGGAACAAGGTGCATCGCGCGAAGCGCCAACGCAGCCTTGTATATATTCATATTTTTATATATGTACTAGAACCATCGCGCGCGCTTCGCGCGCGCTCAAGTTCTACTAGCTTGAAGGAGAGCGCGTAGCGGAGGGAAGAAGAGAGGTCGTCTTGGGGCATCTTCGAGCAGTTGTTGGGTTTCTTGGCGGCCTCTTGGGGCCTCTTGCCTCTTGGGGCCTCTTGGGGGTTTCCTGGGGGCCTCTTGGGGCCTCTTGGAGGCATGATGGGGCGGAAAACTTGATTTTTCCCAACCCTCCTTGTATTGGGCACTCGTTCTGAATAGAGCACTTTGGTATCCACCTCCCGCCCTCTCCTCCTTCTTCTCTCCTGTGTTCGCGGTGCCTTGCGGGGCTGCGAACTGCGCAACTGTCGCCACTTCGTGGGCTCCTGGGAGGCCCAGCGGAGGTACGTCTTACGCAGACCACTTTGAAGCCTTCCTGTCCCTGCGATCTGCGCATCTGTCGCCACTTTCGTGGGTTCCTGGGAGGCCCAGCGGAGGTACGTCTTACGCAAACCACTTTGACGCCGCCCTGTCCCCTGGGGGGGCTGCGATTTGCGCAACTGTCGCCACTTTCGTGGGTTCCTGGGAACCCCAGCGGAAGTACGTCTTACGAAAACCACTTTGAGGCCTCCCTGTCCCCTGCGGGGCTGCGATCTGCGCAACTGTCGCCACTTTCGTGGGTTCCTGGGAGGCCCAGCGAGGGTACGTCTTACGCAAACCACTTTGGGGCCTCCCTGTCCCCTTGGCGCAGCTGGCGCACCTGGCGCGCACCTGGCGCGCTGGGCGCACCTGACGCGCTGGGCGCACCTGGCGCGCACCTGGCGCACCTGACGCACCTGGCGCACCGGGCGCACCTGCCGCACCTGTCGCGCACCTGGCGCACACCTGGCGCACCTGGCGCGCACCTGGCGCGCACCTGGCGCGCACCTGGCGCGCTGGGCGCACCTGACGCACCTGACGCGCTGGGCGCACCTGGCGCGCACCCGGCGCACCTGGCGCGCTGGGCGCACCTGACGCACCTGGCGCACCTGGCGCACCTGGCGCACCTGGCGCGCCTGGCGCGCCTGGTGCAACTGGCGCACCTGGCGCACCTGGCGCGCACCTGGCGCACACCTGGCACACCTGGTGCATCTGGCGCACCTGGTGCACCTGGCGCGCTGGGCGCACCTGGCGCACCTGCCACACCTAGCGCAGACCTGGCGCACCTGGCGCGCCTGTCGCACCTGGCGCACCTGGCGCACCTGGCGCACCTGTCGCACCTGGCGCACATGGCGCACCTGACGCACTTGGCGCGCCTGGCGCAACTGGCGCCCCTGGCACACGTGGCGCAACTGGCGCGATGGGCGCACCTGGCGCACCTGGCACACCGGGCGCACACTTGGCGCACAGCTGGCGCACACTTGGCGCACCTGGCGCGCCTGGCGCATCTGGCGCACCTGGCGCGCCTGGCGCGCCTGGCGCGCCTGGCGCACCTGGCGCACGTGGCGCACCTGGCGCACACCTGGCGCACACCTGGCGCACCTGGCGCACCTGACGCACCTGGCGCGCCTGGCGCGCCTGGCGCGCTTGGCGCACCTGGCGCACGTGGCGCACCTGGCGCGCCTGGCGCACCTGGCGCGCACCTGGCGCACCTGACGCGCCTGGCGCGCCTGGCGCGCCTGGCGCACCTGGCGCACGTGGCGCACCTGGCGCACACTTGGCGCACCTGGCGCGCACCTGGCGCACACGTGGCGCGCAACTGGCGCAACTGGCGGCGCCTGGCGCGCACCTGGCGCGCGCCTGGCGCGCACCTGACGCGCTGGGCGCACCTGGCGCACCTGGCGCGCTGGGAGCACCTGGCGCGCACCTGGTGCACCTGGCGCGCTGTGCGCACCTGGCGCACCTGGCACACCTGGCGCACCTGGCGCACCTGGCGCGCCTGAAGCGCATGGCGTTACTGGCGCGCCTGGCGCAACTGGCGCACCTGGCGCACCTGGCGCGCCTGGCGCGCACCTGGCGCACACCTGGCGCACCTGGCGCACCTTGCGCATCTGGCGCACCTGGCGCGCCTGGCGCAGCTGGCGCACCTGGCACACCGGGCGCGCTGGGCGCACCTGGCGCACCTGGCACACCGGGCGCACACCTGGCGCACACCTGGCGCACACTTGGCGCACCTGGCGCATCTGGCGCACCTGGCGCGCCTGGCGCGCACCTGGCGCAGCTGGCGCACCTGGCGCACCTGGCGCACCTGGCGCACCTGGCGCACCTGGCGCACCTGGCGCACCTGGCGCGCCTGGCGCGCTTGGCTCACCTGGCGCGCATGGGCTCCTGGGAGGCTCAGCGGAGGTACATCTTACGCAGATCACCACTATACCATGGCGCCGAAATGTCCTTCGGTATCGAGTGGTCCAGAATGCAATTGCCACTTGTGTAGAAAGGGTTGGGTACGTCGCAGGATAATTCAGTTCGCGTTCCCTCTCTTGGGCCCCTTTTGGAGCTTTCTTGGGACCATATTGCGCCGTCTTGGGCGGCTCTGGGGTCATCTCAGGGCTCTCTTGGGCCGTCTTGGGGCCCTCTTGGGGGCCTCTTGGGCCGTCTTGGAACGGTTTGGGGAGCCTCTTGGGCGGTGCTTTAGCGCCGGAAACACTAACAAAAACGAGCATGCCAATTATCCTGGCAAAGCAACCTAACAGCGATGTGTAGGAGCATATCTGGAAGCATTCCCCTTGAGATTCAGATGGGAAGCCTGTTGTAGAATTCTGCTGTTCTCGCAGTCGTAGTCGCATTCGCGATGGCAGTCGCAGCGGCAACGGCAGTCGCAGTCACAGCCTCAGCCTCAGCCTGCCTCAGCCTCAGCCTCAGCCTGCCTCAGCCTCAGCCTGCCTCAGCCTCAGCCTCAGCCTGCTTCAGCCTCAGCCTCAGTCTGCCTTCAGCCTCGGCCTCAGCCTCAGCCTGCCTCAGCCTCAGCCTGCATCAGCCTCAGCCTCAGCCTCAGCCTGCCTCAGCATCAGCCTGCCTCAGCCTCAGCCTCAGCCTGCCTCTGCCTCAGCCTCAGCCTGCTTCAGCCTCAGCCTCAGTCTGCCTTCAGCCTCGGCCTCAGCCTCAGCCTGCCTCAGCCTCAGCCTGCCTCAGCCTCAGCCTCAGCCTGCCTCAGCCTCAGCCTCAGCCTGCTTCTGCCTCAGCCTCAGTCTGCCTCAGCCTCGGCCTCAGCCTCAGCCTGCCTCAGCCTCAGCCTGCATCAGCCTCAGCCTCAGCCTCAGCCTGCCTCAGCATCAGCCTGCCTCAGCCTCAGCCTCAGCCTGCCTCAGCCTCAGCCTCAGCCTGCTTCAGCCTCAGCCTCAGTCTGCCTTCAGCCTCGGCCTCAGCCTCAGCCTGCCTCAGCCTCAGCCTGCATCAGCCTCAGCCTCAGCCTCAGCCTGCCTCAGCATCAGCCTGCCTCAGCCTCAGCCTCAGCCTGCCTCAGCCTCAGCCTCAGCCTGCTTCAGCCTCAGCCTCAGTCTGCCTTCAGCCTCGGCCTCAGCCTCAGCCTGCCTCAGCCTCAGCCTGCAAGCCTCAGCCTCAGCCTCAGCCTCAGCCTCAGCCTGCCTCAGCCTCAGCCTCAGCCTGCCAGCCTCAGCCTCAGCCTGCTCAGCCTCAGCCTCAGCCTCAGCCTCAGCCTGCTTCAGCCTCAGCCTCAAGCCTCAGCCTCAGCCTCGGCCTCAGCCTCAGCCTCAGCCTCAGCCTCAGCCTCAGCCTCAGCCTCAGCCTCAGCCTGCCTCAGCCTCAGCCTGCCTCAGCCTCAGCCTCAGCCTGCCTCAGCCTCAGCCTCAGCCTGCTTCAGCCTCAGGCCTCAGCCTCAGCCTGCCTCAGCCTCAGCCTGCATCAGCCTCAGCCTCAGCCTCAGCCTGCCTCAGCATCAGCCTGCCTCAGCCTCAGCCTCAGCCTGCCTCAGCCTCAGCCTCAGCCTGCTTCAGCCTCAGCTCAGTCTGCCTTCAGCCTCGGCCTCAGCCTCAGCCTGCCTCAGCCTCAGCCTGCATCAGCCTCAGCCTCAGCCTCAGCCTGCCTCAGCATCAGCCTGCCTCCTCAGCCTCAGCCTCAGCCTGCAGCCTCAGCCTCAGCCTGCAGCCTCAGCCTCAGCCTGCCTCAGCCTCAGCCTGCCTCAGCCTCAGCCTCAGCCTGCCTCAGCCTCAGCCTCAGCCTGCTTCAGCCTCAGCCTCAGTCTGCCTTCAGCCTCGGCCTCAGCCTCAGCCTGCCTCAGCCTCAGCCTGCATCAGCCTCAGCCTCAGCCTCAGCCTGCCTCAGCCTCAGCCTGCCTCAGCCTCAGCCTCAGCCTGCCTCAGCCTCAGCCTCAGCCTGCTTCAGCCTCAGCCTCAGTCTGCCTTCAGCCTCGGCGTCAGCCTCAGCCTGCCTCAGCCTCAGCCTGCCTCAGCCTCAGCATCAACCTGCCTCAGCATTCAAAATGTGGCCCGGGAATTGAGTTCTAGGAACTCGAAGAACACGAAGTGGCCTACAGTTGGCTCCGGGCATTCGAAATCATGCACAGGAATTGAATTCTGGGAACTCGAAGACCACGAAGTGGCCTACAGTTGGCTCCGGGCATTCAAAATGTGGCCCCAGAATGGAGTTCTGGGAACTCGAAGAGCACGTAGTGGCCTACAGTTGGCTCCGGGCATTCGAAATGTGGCCCCAGAATGGAGTTTTGGGAACTCGAAGACCACGAAGTGGCCTACAGTTGGCTCCGGGCATTCAGAATGTGGCCCGGGAATTTCTGGGACCTCGAAGAACACGAAGTGTGTAACTGCTGGCTAAAACAAATCCCCGGCACCCTCCTCCGGATCGCGCCCAAACCCCCCTGGGGCGTCATACTGCTTTCTTTTTGACCCTACTAGAAACCTATCAGCCACCGCTGCGAAGTAAAAACATTAAACATTATCCTGCGACGTACCCAACCCTTTCTACACAAGTGGCAATTGCATTCAGGACCACTCAATACCGAAGGACATTTCGGCGCCATGGTATAATGGCGATCTGCGTAGGACGTCCCTCCGCTGAGCCTCCCAGAAGCCCATGCGTGCCAGGTGAGCCAAGCGCGCCAGGCGCGCCAGGTGCGCCAGGTGCGCCAGGTTCGCCAGGTGTGCGCCAGGTGCGCCACGTGCGCCAGGTGCGCCAGGCGCGCCAGGCGCGCCAGGTGCGCAAGGTGCGCCAGATGCGCCAGGCGCGCCAGGTGCGCCAAGTGTGCGCCAGGTGTGCGCCAGGTGTGCGCCAGGTGTGCGCCCGGTGTGCCAGGTGCGCCCAGTGCGCCGGGTGTGCCAGGTGCGCCAGCTGCGCGAGGTACGCCAGGTGCGCCAGGCGCGCCAGGCGCGCCAGGTGCGCCAGTGGCGCCAGGCGCGCCAGGTGCGCCAGGTGCGCCTGATGCGCCAAGCGCGCCAGGCGCGCCTGGTGCGCCAGGTGCGCCAGGCGCGCCAAGTGAGCCAGGTGCGCCAGGTGTGCGCCAGGTGTGCGCCAGGTGCGCCTAGCGCGCCAGGTGCGCCAGGTTCGCCAGGTGCGCCAGGTGTGCCAGGTGCGCCAGGTGCGCCAGGTGCTTCAGGTGCGCCAGGTGCGCCAGGTGTGCGCCAGGTGCGCGCCCAGCGCGCCAGGTGCGCCAGGTGCGCCAGTTGCGCCAGGCGCGCCAGGTGCTCCAGGTGCGCCAGGTGTGCCAGGTGCGTCAGGTGCGCCCAGCGCGCCAGGTGCACCAGGTGCGCGAGGTGCGCCAGGTGCGCCAGGTGTGCCAGGTGCGCCAGTTGCGCCAGGCGCGCCAAGTGAGCCAGGTCCGCCATGTGCGCCAGCGCTGCGCCAGGTGCGCCAGGTGCGCCAGGTGCGCCAGGTGCAACAGGCGCGCCAGGTGCGCCAGCTCTGCGCTAGGCGTGGCAGGTGCGCCAGGTGCGCCCAGCGCGCCAGGTGCGCCAGGTGCGCCAGATGCACCAGGTGTGCCAGGTGTGCGCAAGGTGCGCGCCAGGTGCGCCAGGTGCTGCAGGTGCGGCAGGTGCGACAGGTGCGCCCAGCGCGCCAGGTGCGCCAGGTGCGCGCCAGGTGTGCCCAGCGCGTCAGTTGCGTCAGGTGCGCCCAGCGCGCCAGGTGCGCGCCAGGTGCGGACCAGGTGCGCGCCAGGTGCGCGCCGGGTGCGCGCCAGGTGCGCCCAGCGCGTCAGGTGCGCCAGATGCGTCAGGTGCGCCAGGTGCGCGCCAGGCGCGCCAGTTGCGCCATGCGCGCCAAGCGCGCCAGGTGCGCCAGGTGCGCGCCAGGTGCGCCATGTGCGCGCCAAGTGCGCCAAGGGGACAGGGAGGCGTCAAAGTGGTTTGCGTAAGACGTACCTCCGCTGGGCCTCCCAGGAACCCACGAAAGTGGCGACAGTTGCGCAGGTCGCAGCCCCGCAGGAGACAGGGAGGCCTCAAAGTGGTCTGCGTAAGACGTACCTCCGCTGGGCCTCCCAGGAACCCACGAAAGTGGCGACAGTTGCGCAGATCGCAGCCCCGCAGGGGACAGGGAGGCCTCAAAGTGGTCTGCGTAAGACGTACCTCCGCTGGGCCTCCCAGGAACCCGCGAAAGTGGCGACAGTTGCGCAGGTCGCAGCCCCCCCAAGGGACAGGGAGGCCTCAAAGTGGTCTGCGTAAGACGTACCTCCGCTGGGCCTCCCAGGAACCCACGAAAGTGGCGACAGTTGCGCAGGTCGCAGCCCCGCAGGGGACAGGGAGGCCTCAAAGTGGTCTGCGTAAGACGTACCTCCGCTGGGCCTCCCAGGAACCAACGAAAGTGGCGACAGTTGCGCAGGTCGCAGCCCCGCAAGGGACAGGGAGGCCTCAAAGTGGTCTGCGTAAGACGTACCTCCGCTGGGCCTCCCAGGAGCCCACGAACTGGCGACAGTTGCGCAGATCGCAGCCCCGCAAGGCACCGCGAACACAGGAGAGAAGAAGGAGGAGAGGGCGGGAGGTGGATACCACAGTGCTCTATTCAAAACGAATACCCAACACAAGGAGGGTTGGGAATAACACCTGAAAGTAAACGATGTTGCCCTCTCGGGGCGCTCTCGGGCGGCATGTACAAAGCTTCTGGGGGCGTCTGGGGCGCCTCTGGGGCAGTTTAAAACGCATCGTGCGTCGCCAGAAACCCCTGGGCGGCGTCTAAGGGGGTCTCGAGACCGTCAGGGGCCGCCGGGATTGCTGTCTGAGGACTCCCCGGTGCGATTTTGGGCCTCCCAGAAGCGGGCCCGGGCCCCAGCGCCCCCATTTGCGGTCGAGGTTCCGGCCCTCGCCCCCGAACCCAGTGCGCCGTTATGTATATTGCCCGGACCCCCCCCCGCCCCGACCCCTTAAACCGGGCCCCCACCCCAGGGGCGCCATGGACGCCCTTTCGGACGTTTCAGCGCCCCCCTTGGACGCCGTTGGAAAAGATCCGCTGGCCCTCCCCGGCCTCCCAGGGCGCCTTGCCAGGCCTTGCGAGCGCGCTCAAAGCGACCAGAAGGGTCATCGGAGAGGCGCAGAAGAGACGAGCGCCCCAAGAGGAACCTCGATGGTCGAAGACGGCCCATGAAACCCTCAAGACGCCCCAAGAGGCTGCTAATAGAGCCACGAACAAGCAAATATCGTCCCATTTCCTCGGGGACATGTATAAAGACGGCCCGATGGGCGCCCGATATCGCCCCAGGGCGGCCCGAGAGGCCCCCCCAGGGGGTTTGAAGACGGCCCAAGAGGGCTCCAAGACTGCCCGCAAGAAACCCAACAAGTTTGAATGGGTCTGGGAGGCCCAACCAGCAGCTTCGCCTCAGGCGAAACCATGCTCCAGCTCTTCTGCACCGTAGTATCGATAATCCCAGTAGTAGGAGGCGAGTCATCTCAAGCAGTTTTGGTATCGATGGCAAATCGTACGCCTCGCACAAAGGTGCAGTCAGATGTGGGCGGCCGGCCGCTTTGAGCCAAGCAGCCGCGGATGCGCGCTCGTTCCCACTCACATGCAACACCCAGCTCACTTTAGCATCGGGGAGGGAGGGGGGCGAAACGTGAACCCGCCGCCTCTATACAGCAAGTACAGCAGCGACGATTTACAAGAGGGCGGGGCCGTAAGGAAGGCGGTCCCGCGCGCGAGTTGCCTTGCCTGCACTATGCTGTGCATACGAGCCGCAGAGAAATCTCCAATCGCTCACGACGACGACGACGATCTTCAAGCTCGAAAAAGGAATTCCTGAGCTTTCCTTTTTTTCAAAGTGATCGAGGCGACGACGACTGCGACGACGACGACGACGGGCGGTGCAGTGCCTCGCCGCAAGGCTGACGCTCACTACTGGGCCAAGCGCTTGACCGTGTGCACGGCGCAGATCTGGCTCAGCTTAGACTCGACCTGCTTGACGGCATCCTTCTTGCTGTTGAGCTTGTTCAGCTCCGACTCGCGCGCCCCCTCGTCGTAGTTCTTGACGAACTGCTTCGCGCCCTTCGTGGCAAGGAACTCGCCGATGCACTCGGTCGCCCCGTCGACGACGGCGCCCACTGCATGCGTGGGCTCCTCCACCTCGCTACCGCGGGCCCATTTTCTAAACGTCTGACTCACCGATCTGCTTGATGAGGAGCTCGGCGCCCTGCGCCGCCTTCAGGCGCAACGGCTTGAGCTCGGTGGCCGCGGAGAGCGTCGTCTCTGTCTTGGGGATCTTGGCCTTCACCTCTTTCTCCTCGGGGCTGCCGCAGCCCCTCTTCGCGGCCTCCGCCCCGCCTGCCGCCGTCGTGCCAGCGTCGCTCGGCCCCGCGGCGGCGGGCGCATCGACGCGGGGCGTCGCGGCGCCTGCGGGCGCATCGGGGGCGACCTGCGTGGCCAGGAGCGCCGCCGGTGGTCCGCTCGCGGTGCCCTGGCTGCTCGAGGCGGTGATCTCCGCCCGCGCTTCCCTGAATTCCTCTTCGTCTTCGCGCTTGATCCTGCGAGGCAGGGGAAGCTCCGACCACTCGTCGCGATAGCGCCGCTTGCCGCCGAGTTCGGCGCACTTGGCCGCCGTCCTCTTCGCGCCCTCCACGGCCGCGGGCCACTCCCGCCCGCCGCGGCCGAGGACCAACTCCCCGAACGTGCGCGTGTCCTGCTTGGAGCAGGCGGTCCGGGACAGCGTTTCGGACTGCACCTTCTCCTTCTTTCTCTCATCAAGCTGAGTCTCGGCCAACTTAATATTGAGCGCCCTCTTCTCCGCGTGGGGTGCCCTTCGTGTAGTCGCGCTGCGGGCTTCCAACGGGTGGTCTGTGCGAAATGCAGAGCCGAGCGCAGACCGTGAAGCACCCCCCCCGTCTTGATTGCACTGGTCAGGTCAAGGCCCCTCTTGCTGGGCGCCGCCTGCGGCGGTGGCGGCAGTGCACCTCCAATGGCGGCGGCGATGAGCGTCTCGAACTCCTCGCTGTTAGCCTCGCTCACGCTGCACTGTTGGATCTTATGCAGTTAGCTGCGAACATCGGCAGGCTCGGTGGCGTCGAACGCCTTCCCGACAAATGCGCCGCCCAACTGCGGCGCTCCGCGCGGGCAGACGTCGCCCGACGCGCCGCGGCCGCCTCGGCGCCGTCCACGCCGGTCTTGTTGTTCAGGTCGACCATCGCCATTGTCGAAGCACCGCTGGCGGAGCCGGCGAAATCCAGCATGCAAGCGCCCGCGGCGTTCGGCTTCGAGCCAAAATTGCACGGGGGGGGAGAGCAGGAGTAGCGGAAGAAGATGGCGAGGATGGGGCGCTCGTGACCCCTGCGCCCACTCAACCTTATCGTCTGTGACTGTTTACGACGCGCGTTTCAAGCTGGAGCGCTCGGCAAACTACACTTGCCATATTTGAACCACAGCGGAATCGAAGCAACCCTCGAAGTGTCCTTGAAATGCGCCCCTGGCGCTGACCCCGATATCGACTGATGGCGTTTCGACGGTTTGCTCGGTGCAGCCAGGGGTGAAATGGAGGGCGCTAGCGATGGTGATGGCGATGGCGACGATGATGTCAATCGTTGTCATGGTGGTGTCAACGCTGATGACGATGATGCTGATGATGCAGATGATGGTGATGACGACGTTGATTACGTTGGCAGTTTCCTCTAGCGGTTTTGTTTTCTCAGCGCAGAGAAAGCGTGCAAGTGCATGCGCTCTGCCTGTTGCCTTGGCTCTCTTGCTGTCTTGCGGCGCGGGGCTGTCAGTTCGATCTGAGTCGCCCGAGCATCCCGCGCGCGGCGGCGCCCTGGCAAGCGCGGCGGCCGCTTCATCATCCAAGAGGTCGGGAATTGGCGCGAACTGAGAAGCCATCGTGGTCTGTCTCTGCAAGGCCCCGCGCACCCAGCGCGCGGCAGCGGCAGCCCAAGCGCCCGCCGCGGCGTTCAAGCCCGACGCTGTGCAGCCAGGCGCAGGCTCACTCGTTGAAAAATTCACTGGGTTGCTGGCCGACGCCGCCATCGACTCCGGCTTGGCGCGCGCTCCAGCCGCGGCCTTGGCGGCTGCCTTGGCCTTCGCCTTCTTCGCCGCGGGCGGGGCGACCTCCTTCTTATCCTTATCCTGCACCATTGCGCCGCCGCCCGCGGCCCGCGAATCGCAGCCCGCGGGGGGGGGCGGCATGTCGCCGGCGGCAGCTGGGCGGTTCAGCGCCGCGGGCGCGGCAACTGGGCGTTTCATCAGCGCGCCCTCGGAGCCCTTGGCGCTCCTGTAAGCTGGAGGGCACTGCTGCGGTAGATCCTGGCCCTTCTCAGCCTCGTCCATGCATGCCCTTTTTGCCTTGCACCTCGTTCGACTCCCGCATCTTGCAGAAAGGCGCCATGAAGTCCACTGCTTTCCGTAAGGTCGGGTTGCCACTGGGAACCTGACCAGGCTGGGGCATCGGCAGATCCCCGAATTTGCACAGCGCGACCTGCAAGATCTGCGCACCTTGATCGTACAACGACAGGAGCTGAATGCGATCGGTGCGCTGCTGCAGCGCCAACACGCTGCGCGTCGCCGAGTGCTCGCCAGTCCACAACGCGTCAACGCGGCGAGCGCGGCCACCCGACCTGCTGAGGGTGAACTCCGCCACTTTGATCTGGAACATGTGCTTCGTGCCATCCCTCCACATTGCCTCGACGAGCTCGTCTGGATCGGCGCCCTCGTCGATGTGGATCGGGAGCGACACCTCTTCCTGGCCCGCGTTGTCTGGGCCATTGCCGACCCTTTTGCCGAGCATGAAATCCGTGGACCAGAGTGCTCCCACTGGCTGTCCCGCTCGGGCGCGCCGGGAGCTGCCGTCGCAGAGTTTGGGTCAAACACGTCGTCCGACACCTTTGGGGTCTCTTCCTCTCCGCTTTCATCGCCGTAGTCGCCCTCGCCGTGGGCGCCGCCGTCATTCTGGTCGGGCGCGTCGCCAAAGTGGTCGAGGATCCACGTCCTACCATCCCTTACTGCCTTGCTCGCAGGGCATCTCATGTTTTACGTTCGGGCGGTCATCGTGGCGAACCAAACGTCCTTCTCGGACGTTGACATCGTCCACGCTGGCTTCTTAGAGTCCGTCATGATCTTGATGATCTCCTTCAGAGCTCTGTTGATATCTGATTTCCTGAACGCCAAGTTGGGAGAGAGCCGTCTCATGTCGATGAGGAAGTCCTTGCTGCGCTGCATCGACTCCCTGCTGAACTCAGCCGCGCTCGCTTTCGGTGTCTCCGAATACTTCAGAAAGCGAACTCCATGTTTGACGCAATGCTTCTTGACTGTTTCCTCTAACCCGTCGCCGTCGTAGCGCGCGCGCTCGGACGCCATCGCGCGCCCGCAGAATTCCAGATTGCTGTGCCGACAAACTTGCGTGAACCAAAACAGGCTATGGAATGCGGGCCACGTCAGCGGTAGCCAACCTAGTATTCGAAATCGGCATGCCGTGCAATGCCCAGCCCTCGCACGTTTCGTGGCCCCATAGGGAGCTCCACCGAAGGCCCGAATGGCGGTGTCCACATGCGTCCCCACTACTCATGTCGGCACACCCCTCACACGCTTCGTGGTCCCATAAGGAAAGAACTCCACCGAAGGCCCCAATGGTGAGGGCCACATGCGTCCGCGCCACCCATGTCGGTACACTGCTCACACGTTTCGCGGCCTCACAGTGAACTCCACCAATGCCCCTGTGGGCGCCTGCTTCATTTGAGACCGAAACACAGCTTGAGCGGAAATGACAGCAGGGGTGTTCGCGATAATGGTCGAAAACGATAACATCACATGTGAGGCCCCTCTGCTCAGACCGTTCTAAAATCTCCATGGCCGGACGGGCCCCACTGGGGGCCGGTCGTTCTTGCGTCGTCTCCGCCACGCATATGTCGCACCGCGCGCCCGATAGTGACCCATGCGAGCCCAAAGATAGCAGTGCCAATCCCATGGCCTCGCAGGGCGTAGTCGGATGTAGTCGGTTGGGGGTCGCGGTAGGTGGTCGTGAGCCTGCAGGGGTGGGGGCGACACAACCTCGCATCGCATGTTTCCAAGCATTATGTCTTCGAGGAAGCGCCCAAGTGGAGTAAGTGGGTGAACTTCAGGAGTGTAGTAGCACAAAGATGTAGGACGCAGGTAAGAGAAATCCGCGCAGGCAGAGGTGTCAGTGCAAGTGCCCTTGCCACGTTGCGTAATTATATACATTCCTCCGCGCAACCCCATTGCACCCTGATGTTCCACCGCGTCAGTGGTCCACCAGATAATGCCGTGGATGGTGAGGAGTAGAGCTAGAGCTGGCCACCATAAGCCAGCTCCGCTACAAACTTTGAAAGGGGTTGGGAGGCCCAACCAGCAGCTTCGCCTTCGGCGAAACCCAGCTCCCGCTCTGTTGTACCGTAGTAACGATAGTCCCAATAGTAGGAGTCGAGCCATCTCAAACAGTTTTGGCATCGATGGCAACTCGCGCACCTCGCACTGAGGTGTCGTCAGATATGGGCGGCTGGCCGCGTTGAGCCAAGCAGCCGCGGATGCGCGCTCGTTCCCACTCACATGCAAAGCCCGGCTCACTTTAGAATCAAGATGCCCCCAGAAGGCTCCCAAGGCAGACCCGCGGAAGCCATTGGAGACCCCAAGAAGGCCAATGGAAGCCCCCAGAAGGGCCTCAGATGGCCCCAGAAAACCTCGGGGGGGCCCCAGCTGCCCAAGACGGCCCTGGGACGGCCGCAAAGGTCCCCAGGGCGGCCCAAAAGAGCACCGAAAACGCCCAGGCGGCGTTTTCCTACGAAGTACATCGGGCTGACCCGGCGATCTTGGTTCCACGCTTGAGGCTCGAGAATAAGTTCCTCGATCGAGAAGGACAGGCAATGGATCGAGATTCGAAATTCGATGACCGAAGATCTCCTGCAAACCTGGAGCCCTCCAGGCATTCAGGAACCCACCGGAAATCGAATTCGGAGCTGATGCGGCTTCTTCGGCGCGTCATGGGAACGCCCCCTACTTCCGCAAAGGACCTTCGCGCGCTCAGAAATCGCCATCTCCCGCCCCCCCCCCCTACTCCCGCGCACAAGCGTACAAGCGCATCGGGCGAACGCGGTGTCAGCAGGCACCAGGGATATCATAAACATGAGCTGGTCGCCAGCCCAGAGTTCGAGGTCCCCGAAGCAAGAGATGATTGATTGCTGTGCCGGGGAGGGTCCTGAACAGAGCATGGCGCGAAGCGCCAATGCAGTCTACGCACACTATAACCATCGCGCGCGCTTCGCGCGCGCTCAAGTTCTAGCTAAGGCCATGATCATCGTCATCATTGTCATCCTCGCCCCCGCCATCTTCATCGTCATCGTCATGGTCACCTTCGCTATCGCAGCAATCCTCCTCCTCCTCCTCCTCCTCCTCCTCCTCTTCTTCTCTCATTGCACCCAATGCACGGTTGCCTACTGGAACGCGCGCTGGGGGCCTTTTTGGAAGCATAGTGTCAGTCTCTTGAGCTTCTCCAGGCCTTCCTTTGGAATCCTTTGAGGCCTTGCTGGCCCGTTTGAGGGCCCATTTCGGCCGTTCCGGGTCCCCCCTGGCTCGTCGTGGGGAGCTCAGGTGGCCCCCATCGAGCTTCCTGGGGGTCCTCTTGGGCCGTCTTGTAGCTCTTCCGTGCCGCTTTGGGCTGTCTGGGGCCCATTTTGGTAGCACCTCTTGGGCCGTCGCGACCACTGGTAGAACTGAAAAGCGAGGCTCCCAGAAATATGCGCTGTTCGATAGGAAATGCTTGATTTTGCATTTGTAGGGCATTCTCAGCGGCCTCTTGGGCAGT